AATCTGTGCTCATGCCCATCTACAAATACCTGAGTTTTGATAAATCTGCTCAGCTGAGCACCTGGGAGACATGTAACCCTGAGCAGCACCCAAAAGCTTGGTGGGTTTCCACAAGAGACCTTCCACCTCAGCACCTACCTAATTGCATCAGGCTTTGTACAAAACCACAGCAGCAGCTACCCTGCTTTCTTTTAAAGCACAGCTACACGAATCAGCCTTTAGACAAGGTACACAGCAATCCACAGGCTAAAGCACATGGAAGCAGGTTTCCCTACTGCCAGCTGAGCTCCACATTGCTAAGCTGCCGTCAGGCTCACTTGTCTACAGATTAATTTTAATTCATTTCTGCACAGCAGCCTAGCTTTATCTCGAAGTCTAGAAAGGGTCCCCCTGCCAAGGTAGTCTTCAGTCTCCAGGGAGGCAAGAAATGTAGGGTTTAATCCTTTTGAGGACAAGAAGGAATCGACCTGCTTTATTCATGCATCCTGGCTGGGTATGTGTGATAAATGCTGAGCCAAGGCAGAAGGGAGGGGCCACCAGGACATCCCTTCTCTTGCATGTTTTCAAATTGTTCTTCTTGTTTTTAAAAAAAGGTACTCAGGTGCGAATCTGGAGGAGACGGTTCACACTGTAAATCCAGTGTGAGGGGAAATGGCTCCTGGCTCTACTCAGGACATTGCTGAAGCCCCAGAGAAGACAATCTGGTTTTTCTTTTTCTATTAGCTGTATCTAAACAGCTCTCCACACAAGTTTCACGATGCTGCTTGCAGCAGTGGCTCCAGGTTTCTTAACAATGTATGCAGCGCCATCTTCTTGAGATGGCAGAAGAGCAGGTTTCTGCAGGGCAGAAGGTTTCTGCAGGGCCGAAGGTTTCTGAATGGACCTGTGTGATCAGAGACGCTGGGTACTATGGGTGAGACAGGGGTCTCCACCCCCCTTTCTTCTCTCTCTGTAACCTTGTATGTCTCCTTACAGCCAATTTCCTCTTGGGAGGGACCAGGACTTGTCCCTGAGCAATGCTAGTGCACCCTGGCAGGGGAAGACAATGCTGGCCTTCATCCAGCCCTTGGGAAACAGCAATCGAGGCAGGAGGTGGTGCCATAGGCTCTGGGCCATCTATTCTCCACTCCTGTCTGCCTGCCCCCAGGGTCTGGGGCACTTCAGCTCCTCTCTTTAACGGTGAAGCCAGCTAGCCAGTGGGTGTTTAACAGAAGGTAGAGTCCAGGCAGTTGTATCCACTGGTAGATCATGCAAGAGGATCACCTCCATGGTAAAGAGAGCCTTTGGGAGGCACAGAGCTTGTAGTGCCTCTCTGAGGCAAACGAGTACACAGCAGTGCAATGCATTATTCTGCCATCCTCCACGGCTACCAGAAACAGCTGCCTGCGTTGTTCTGCCCCAAATGTATCTGATCCCTGCGCTGTCAATAAAATCCCAGCCACTGGTGAGGGACATGAAGGAACGCTCCATTGGCTCAAGGCACTCTAATGCCATTGCACATGATTTCCATGCCAGAGGCTTGCCTTGATGGAAATGGTTAGATGCCAAAACTCTCGCTGCAGGTCAGATCCCGAGGACTTTCCTTTGCTAAAGGATGGTCAGTCTTCAGCTCAAAAATGAGGCCTTTAGCCTCAGGTCAGCACAAGCTTCACTGGGAGCCAGTCTCCAGTCATTTCCATGGTGTCTGTTAAAGTAAGGCATTGAAGGAGTTTGAGCTAATTGCTCTACTTCTTATCCTGCCTTAGGGAAACAGATTTCTTTAATTTTAACCAAACTGCAAATAACTTCACATTTGGACATCTGACCAAGTTGCCCTGTGACCCAGCAAGCTACTGCTTGTCAGCTGAGCTGTGGTGTTTGGCCAGGTTCAACCTCTTATTCTCTACACATGTGAAGCAGAACATGAACATCTTCACGAGGTTTCTACTGGTTTGTCAAAGACTTTGAAGCATGCACATGCTCAGCAGTGACTCAGGTGTTGGCTGCTAATGTGTTAAACCACAGTAACTTGACAGACAACACTTAGCCCCTCCTTAAAAAAGCGGAACTGATTTGCCCCAGAAGTAATTGTTCAAACATCTAATAGCAAATCTATTCCAAGACGTGCCAAACTTAAGAATAAAAATAAGAAAAGCATATAAAGAGTGGAAAGGACTGCAATACTACATCATTGCCTAATTTGGTACTTTTTGAATGAAGGGCTTAAACTAAAAAAAAAAGGGTACATGTGAGATATGCCCATCTGAATTCACTTTACTTTCAGCAAAATGTGTGAACTATGCCTCTTGTCTTCACAGAGAGAGCTCTTCTTGTCTTGAGAACTAAAAGGGAGAAAGATTACACTTTTTTTCCAAAATAAAAGCTTCCATTCAGACCCTGAAGAGACAGAACAATTCAACTATTTTCATACAAAACCATAAAGCCAAGGAAATTGAGAAATTCAAAAGTAAAAGATCTGAGATCCTTAATTAAATGCTGTGTACAGCAGAGGACATACTCTGTCCTGGTTTTCGACAATCTTTGGGAAGGACCCTGCACTCAAGAACAGCATGATTTGCAAACACAGAAACAATTGGAGGTTTGCTGTTCCTTGTATTCTGCCTATTTCAGCTCAAATATCTGGTTTCAAGTCTTTGGATTTGTATTTTCTTCCATTTCAGTACACACTTTGTGTTGGTTTCATCTTATACATAAAGGCTGAACCTTTCAAAGCCTTCAGATAACACCATCTAGTTATTGTCATCATGTCCTTCCCTCAGAACAGCAGCAGTTTGGCTTTGGGGGAAGTTTTTTGTCCTTTGATGTTTCCTCAGTAGAAGTAATTTTGCCAGTCCTGCTCTCTCCTTGTGTGCGCCAGTATTGCTGCTACCACCGCTGTTAAAATGCACTAACACGGCAGCGGCCATGGGCCGGTTAGCCTGCTTCTCCCATGGTTCATTTGCTAGGAAGCAGGGCAAGTACAGCCATCGCCCACTTCTTCCCTAAGTGCATTCACGGCCACAGCTATTTTGTGCTCCAAGATTACATTTCTGTACCGTGAAAGGCTCTGTAAGGCTGTGCAGAAGTAACAGCAATTTTAAGAGGGGGTTTGCTCCAAGGCAACAAACAGGAACAAAGACCTAGGAGAGCTAAAAGCTGAAGGACGTGATTTATTTTTTTATCAGTTGAATAACTGAATTATTAAATTAAAAGCAATATTACTGCAACTTTACCGACGTGGGGGAGTAAGTTCTGAGCACCAAGTCTGAGGGTTTTATTCAGCTTTTATTGAATCTATGTCTGCACATGGAGCTCAGCCATTTGCGGTCAGAAACAAATACAGCCATACTAATACAACCACTAAATGGAGGGAGAGAAAACCGGACTTTATACTTGTTCCCAAGTTCAAGTAAAGGTTAGTTCAGCTGAGTTTGCTTTCAATTAGCTACAACCTGCAGCAAATCAAATGTGAAAAATAAAGTATGACCAACACTGAGAGGAAAACCAATACATATCTCAGTAGGGAATGCTTATTTATGCTGTTTACTTTGGTCTCTTAGTGCTTGGAAATAGTGTATTTGAGACTCTTGCTGCAAGTCAAAGGAGAATTAGGAGGTTAAAACGGCAGCAGATAGGGACAGCAAAAACCAATAACATCTGCAGCATAATATTTCCTCAGTAGTGTTGGGACCGCTGTAATGGTGAGCTCTACCTATATACGATGTTCTACCTATATACGGTGAGCTCTACCATTATACAATGTTATTTTTTCTCAGAAGGAATTTGCAACCAAGTGTGGAATAGAGGTAGCCTTGGCACTAAAAAGAGCTACACTTTTCAAAACAAGGCACACAAGGAGCAATTCGGTGGCTGAAGCAGACCTAGTCCTAAGTACAGAGTAGGGCTCATGACACTTGTAGATGGCCTGCTCCCAGACAGGGATCACAAGGCTCATGCAATATCAAGCCATCTCTGCAAGAGATGACAAAGTACAGTGATGCAGTAATTTATGTGGTTCTTGAGCACAAGGCTGTGAAAACATAATTAGGTAGTCTTTTATCAAATGAAACGAATAAAAACTATAAACCAAAATGATGAGGCACTAAATTTAGAAGAAAATTCATTTGATTATCGCATCAGAGCCATGATATTTCAGATCATACTGTCAGCTTAATTGGCTACAATTTATGTAGATTTGATAAAACTATTTGAGCTGTTAATAACGTAGGAAGTTGCACTTCATGTATTCAAAAGCAGTTAGCTTTTTACTCTGATGTAGGCACTTGAAAACCTTTGTGCTGAACATGTTTTCAACTATGTAAGGTTAGAGAGACTGGTATTACTTATTATTTTAGGTTCCTGATGACGCCTGTCATTAGTGTCTGAGTGCTCCATACCTAGCGCTGGCGGGACAGTTCCCAGGTACAAAGAAACAGCATTGCTCTCATCTCACTCATGACTCTCTAATAGTGGTCAGTACTATCTCTTTCCCGCTCTCCAAACAGTTTCTAATGCCCACGGTTCCCTGGTTACAATTAGTTCTGCATGGTTTATATGCGTGTGCCTTGGGGTAAGCGCCATTTAAGTCACAGCACCTTCGCTAAATACCAGGATCTGTTCACACAGCAAATAGCTGATGTTTTAGGGATTCCTGATATCCTGTTCTGAGATTTCCAAGAGGAATACATTCCAGTGGCACTTATTGTTTAATGCTGCAGTTCGTTCATACTACCTCTTAATACATACAGCAGAGGTAAGCAAGAAAAAGCCTGCTGACTGTATCCCATCTTCACACTTCACCAATCCCTCCGCACCTGATATCTTCAGGAGGCCTCCTGCCTTTCTGAGCTTCATTTGAGGGAAGTCACCCCAGAAATTGCATCCAACTCAGGGAATTGATAAGAAGTTTAGTTCTTACAAAAATCCGTCATGAACTGATGGGAACATAGGGGTTTCTATATAAAAGAGTCTGACAATAAAAGTTCAGGACCAAGTAATCAACAGAGTGATCACAGGAAAGCAGTTATTAAATAGCAGTGATTTAATTTTAATTTTTTTTTTAAAGGAGAATTTTCAGCTTTCAAACAAAATACTTGGAACTTTCTCCCAGAAACTGATGTTTCTCACTCGAGAACAGAGCAGAGATATGTGGGACCACATTGCTAAAATGGGAAGTATTTTTTTACTTTAAGGGCATTAACGTTTCAAAGTGAGAGGTTCAATGAAGAAATTTCTTCTGTTGGTGTGTAGAGGCCTGTTCATCTCTACATGCCTGTAAACTCTCTTGAATATGGTGAAGGTAGAAGAGTAAATAACATGCTCACATTCTAAAAATTAGTAGAGTTCTTTGAGTTATTACTTTGTGCTTGTCTCTTCCAGTAATAAAAATGCTCTGCTTGAAGACACAGTTTGGAAATAAAAGACTTTTGTTTGCATATTTTCTGTTCTGAAAAAATGTAAGTATCCATTCCCATAGTTTGCTTTGGAGCAAAATGTTTTCTGATTTTTCAGTGTTTGTTTTGAAGTTATTAGTCAGTTTTCAAAACCACAAAACACAATCTTTTCCGAACTAGTTTATGTAGAAGCATTTGTTGCTCATAAGAACATGACCTGTTCTTTACTCGGTAAAATCGACCTCCTAATGCATACCTTCAAGCTTTCTTAGGCATCTAGCAAGCAGAGTCTGACCAGTACGCTTTCCTCCTCACTTCCACCATTCCACAAGAGAATGAGAAGGAAACCTCTCCTTGACTTGCAAAGGCCTGAGGAATGACATGCTGGGGGCTTACCACAGCATTTCGTCGGTGGTAGAGAACTCTGGGTTCGCGATGGACAGCTGCAGGCCATGTTAGAGACAATGAACTCAATTTTTACTTCTGAACACAGAAACTCTGGGAAATAAAACATGAATAACTTTTTTCACTCGAGGAGATAACATGATTCCAAAGGTTCCTCTGATATTAAATTATGTCCTGGGGATTCCAGTTTTCTCTTTGAAAAGAAATTTCTAGCTCTTCTGCTTTAAAGTCTGAAAGCATGACATAAGTAGACTCAAAAAACCTGGAAGGCAAACCAAAAGAACCTTAAACATGCCGTTAAAAAATCTTAAAAACCCTCAACTACCTAGTTTCTTAGGACAATTTTACAAACAGAAGTGACCTGGCAAAATTGATTGCTGGCCATGAAATCCCCAAGTGCTACTAATCTGGGAACTCTGAACCAAAGACAGCAGGATGGTAGGAAACCAAGGACAGAAAAACACAAGAACTACTTTGAAATTAACACAGGCCAAACAGTGAGTGGGTCCAGCGATGGCCCGTCACTGGGCACCACTGAAAAGAGCCTGGCTCTGTCCTTTTTGCACCCACCCTTCAGGTATTTATATACGTTGATGAGATCCCCCTCAAGCCTCCTCTGACTTTGGCAGAAGGGTCCTGCAGAAATTCTTGCAGCACATCCTCCTTCTTTACCCCATTGTTCCCACTTCAGCTGAGGAGATCTGAGCTCCTGACCTACCTTGGCATCCTCTGGATGCAGGATTCCCTTCTCTCACACAAGGGCTGGCTACTTGGGCTTAATCAAATGAACACATTTCCTTAAAACTGTGGGGCTGTTTCAAGAGCTCACAGCACGTCAGTGTTCCTCTACTAGCAAGGCACTGGATGTTTTTGCTGGACAAAATGGCAATAACTTTGCTTGTTACTGTACAGCAGTTTAACCATATCCCTCTGGTCCATGTAAGCACAGGCATAAGACACAATCTCTGACAGTGTGTCAGAGCAGTGACACTGGGAGCGGTAGATGGCTACTGTTAAGTGAGATGCAGCTTAAGAGCAGTATATAGCATGAAACTGTAATTAAAATCCACAGTACTCAGTGGACAAAGTTATAATGTGTATTTTTAGCCCAGGGTAATTAACATTTTTTGTGAATAATTAATAGCAACACCAAGGAACATCTTGTAAGTATGGATACAAGAGCTCTATTCCCTAAGGGACTTTTTTTTTTTCCCCTTTCTCTCTCTTTCTTTCCCACGTGATGTCAATCTCAGAGGCTGCTCTGCTGACAAGATTCCTCATTTTTTGCGAGGCAGGATTCCCAATATGTTACAGAAGAGGTAATGCTGCAAGTAATACAAAGTCTAAGCTGCCCTGTGAAGCTTTTGCTAGCTGTTTAATCTTCCACCCTCAAAATACAACTCCCCTGCTTCTGTAACCTGACAACAGAATTATCACTCAGCTTCTGCAATTAAACCACCCTCCCTGGTAAAGTTCCAAGTAAAGACAACAGATTATCTACAAGTACCAGTTGCATGGTTTCTCACACCTTGAACAAGATAGGTACCCCATCAGGGACAGCCCAGGCATGGCTCAGCAACCTTGTCTGACCAAATTCTGAGTAGAACTGTGATGGGGATCCTGACAATCCCTTTCTCCAAACACGACCAGAACACAGTGCCAGGAGAGCTGCCCGTATGTCCACGACTGAAATTTTTGTAACTTCAAGGCAGTAAATTGCCCTTTTTGCCTTTTGTGAAGTTCCTTCAGTAAGTATGAAAGTCTCCTTCAAGAGGAAAAGGCTAGACCACTCTAGCTGAAGGTTTAGGTCCTTTAAAACCGAAGTCCAGCATTCAGACCCCATGGCCCTTCATGGCACATTGTAAAAAGTCTTGGTACACAAACCCCCACGCTTCAGGACACAAAACGTGAAGGGCTACAGAATGAAGAAAGAACCCAAACATGAATTGCAGCAGTAACTGGCTGTGATTAATATACATGCTCAGGTGAAATGCCAATTTGTGCTCAGTCCCATTTCCAGGTACAACCACCATGCTAGTTATCACATGAGATACCACAATAATCAGCATTAAATCTCAGCCATAGCAGGCTCCATTTGTCACAAATTGAATGCTTCCTACCATTACTTATTCAACAGGACATATATTTAGCTGACTAGTGTGTGCTATTTCATTGCTATTTTATTTTGCATACGTTTTGCTCGTGCATGTAGAAATGTGCACGTGCGAAGGGAGCAGCAAAAAAAAAATTGTAGATGGAGAAAAGGAAAAGGAATCACAACTCATTTTGTGTATTAAAACTAGCGGCATCAAACACATCATCTGCAGGTCTGTGGAAGAAAAAAAATCTTTATAACAAAGAAGGGTATACTAATTAGTTAATTATAGATGATAGACCAGCAGCAGGGGATGACTACAGGACTATCTTAACTGATAAGCACTTTATGACCTTCAGTGGATCCAGCTTCATGACATCTCACTGATTATATCCCTCCCACAAACTGTTAGACTCACAACTACGATCTTAGCAAGTCTATTTGTGTTTCCTAATTTGGTGAAAGAGCAAGACCAAAGATATTTAACAGAAGTTACTCTAAAGTGCAAATTATGTAGGAATGGGTTTGTAAATAATGAACCAACCTACCATTTTGCATGTTCCTTATTTTTGCTGATGCGTTTGCACTCAGTAAAACCGAGCAAGAAAACATGGATCAAAATTAAAACAAAATTGATCATGTTGACTTGCAATTTACTGAAGCTATCGGATGAAAAATGACAATAGTAGGAGGAAGTGTTAGAAATAATTGTTGTAGTTGTAAAACCTTTGATATTTTTGACATATTTATGTAGATTTTTGATGCTTTTATGATATCACGTTATAGGATCACAGCATAATGGAAATTATCCAGAGAATTTGGCATTATTCTACAAGTTTCAGTGGGTATTTCCTACAGAGTACCCCAAGAAATATAAGAATCCTAACAAAGAGAAATCCCTCGACAGTGAGTATCTGAAGAGTTTATTGTACTGATGTGAGAGAGAATTAATTTCCAAACTGTGAAAACCAAAGAACACCCTCATTTATCGGCACGCACTCTGCACAGGCATTTCTATTGACCAGTCAGTTTAGCATTCTTTAGAGAGCATCACATACAAAGGATGATCAGTAACCCCTTCTTGGAGATGAAGCAAAGTATCAGGCAGATGTGAGCATGGATTTCTTGCAAATAAAGATAATCTTCACTGGCTTGGTATGGTCAGTCATAAAACAAATCACTGACTATATCACATTTTATACAAGGCTGCAGGCCATGCCTAAAACAACTGAACTGATGAATGCCCTCTATAGGGGACAATCCTTAGATTTAGTACCATTCAAGGCTGCTGGATGTGGCAAGTGATTGACTTACATCTCAATTTTATGTAGAATTTATGCACATGCTTAGTTCTGCACTGCAACCAAAACCAAACTCCTAGTCTCCAGTGAGTACTGTGCCTGCAACTCTTCTAGAACCTAAGTTTTCAGATATGATTTGTGACTGTACTATCCAAAATCTAGAAATCCGTGTCACTGTCAGAACTTGATAACCAAAACAACATCACGTCCTGGTTTTGGCTGGGATAGAGTTAATTTTCTTCCTAGTAGCTGGTACAGTGCTGTGCTTTGGATTTAGGATGAAAACAATGTTGATAACACACCAATGTTTTAGTTGTTGCTGAGCAGTGCTTACACTAGCCAAGGACTTTTCAGCTTCCCATGCTCTGCCGACCGAGAAGGCTGGAGGGGCACAAGAAGCTGGGAGGGGGCACAGCCAGGACAGCTGACCCAAACTGGCCCAAGGGATATTCCATACCATAGGACATCGTGCTCGGTATATAAACTGGGGGAAAGCTGGCCGGGGG